GGGGGTGGGGCTGCAGTTGCACATACTGGTCCCTGTGTGTTGCTTTTCCTGCTGCCTTCCTTCTTTGCCCTCCCCTGGGCAGCTGGGAGCGAGAGGAAGGCAGCAGGCTCTGCACTTTCCCTCCTTCCTCCCTGAGAGTCGCAGGCAGCAGGAAAAGCAACACACAGGGGCCAGTATGTGCAACTGCAGCCCCCACCCCCAACATGGTGGTGGTGGGCTCGGAGATGGGGCACTCCCAGATGGACGGGAGCCCCAAGCCAGCCCCTCGAATCTGCCTGGCTGACTGTGGCTGAGCCAGGCAGCCTGCAGGGAGCCCTGGGAGCCAGGCGGGGAGGGCTCAGCCCCTCCCCCTGCAGCTAAATGCCCCAGCTGGTCGGCTTTTTGCGAGAGCGCTGCACCGGGGTGCGTGAGCTTCCTTCCGCCTCTGGCTCCCTTGCAGAAAGGGGGCTGCGGTCGGAGCAGGCGCACACGGGAGCTCCAGCCTGGGCACTCTGGAGTCTGTGCCGGTTCCCGGGGGCGGGGCTGAGAGCAGGTGGGATCCGTTGGGTTCAGGCTCTCCAGTCAAGGCAGTGCAGTAGTTTCAGGGGCTGGAGGAGGAGCTGCCCTCTGAGAGCTTGCAGCCTGGCAGTGGGACTGGACGAATCTCTCCCTAGGGGCAAATCCCTTAGAGGGGGGAAGTGTGGAGGCTGCTTTGCCATTCCCCAGGCCTCAGCCTGTGCTCCTCCCTCCCTCTGTGGATCAGTCACAGGGTGTGCTGGGCATGCTAGGGGGATATGAACAATGCCAGTGGGGGAGAGGTGGGTGTTGAAATTCTGCTTGGCCAAGTGCCATTCAGCTGACATCTGTCTGTATTCCACTGTCCCCTTGCTGGCAAGCACCATTCAGCTGACAGCTGTCTGTATTCCACTGTCCCCTTGCTGAGCTGCATTCCCCACACACTGAATCGCTGTGCGCTGCTGCACCAAGGATTTGCTCCCCACAGGGATGACAAAGCCATCAGGCTTGGTGGGTGCGGGCTCCCCACTTCCATGCCCTCCTCGGTTAGCGTCACCCTGCTCTCCGGGCAGCCAGACCATCTCACTGCCCCCTCAGGGCTGTTCAGCTGGGTACCTTGACTCTCCTCTCCTCTCTTATCTCCGGCAGACTTTGGGATTTTCCGCCGGGTGGCGATGGTGCTGTACACAGACTGTATCCAGCAGTGCAGCCGGCCGATGTACATGGTAGGTGGCTTCCCCAGCCCTCGCCTGGCCTTGGCAGTTACTCAGTTGTCCGCTAGGGAGAGTTTAAAGCTACGCAGAGCATGTATGGGCAGCACATGTAGCTCTTCAAGTGATGGACAAAGAAAAAAAATTAGAAAAACCTCTCCAACCAAAAAAAGCAATGGCCCTTCGTCTGGAATGCCACATGCTTTGCCTTAGGCTGGAGGAAGCTTCTGCAGGGAGTTGAGGTGACTCAGACTACATCTACACTGCAGCCTTTTGTCGGCAGAGACAATGCAAATGAAGCACTCATTAGTATTTGTTGCGTTCTCATTTGCATATTTTCCGCCAATGCTTTTTGCGGAAGAGGTTTTTGCGCAAAAACAAGCAGTGGAGACAGGGCTGTTTTGTGCAAAGCCCCCTTTTGCGCAAGATCCTGTATGCCTCCTTTTTTGAGGCATAAGGGAACTTGCACAAAAGGGTTTTTTTTTTTGCGCAAAACAGCCCTGGCTACACTGCTTGTTTTTGCGCAAAAACCTCTTCCGCAAAAAGCATCAGCAGAAAATATGCAAATGAGAATGCGACAAATACTAATGAGTGCTTCATTTGCATTGTCTCTACCGACAAAAGGCTGCAGTGTGGACGTAGCTTCAGTCAAGGTGAACTTTAAAAAAAAAATCTATTTGCCTAGGGAAGTCAGCGCTGCCCTCCAGACAGTCTCCATCTTACAGCCTTACCGTGGGAATGGCTCTTTCTGCTTTAGCTACAGAGCTGAAGCTGCTGTTATTCCTGCCTCACCCTGGGGCACATGGCGTTCTGCAGACAAAGACAAGAGGTGGCTGTTACCCAAGTCCCTTGAACTCGCCTCTTGTCAAAGGCCGTTCCGCACTGACTGCAGCCTGGCGCCTAATGTACCTTATGGGACGAGCCATTCCTGTCTGTCCCAACTGCCTGGGAATTGCCAAGCAGTTCGGCTTCACACCCCCCTCCATTACTTTTAAAAAAGATGCTTCATTTACTTCTCCCAAGCAAGCTACCACCCTGTGGACCTTAAGCAAACATTAAGGATAGAAATTCACGTCTACAACACCAGAACAAATAGAATAGGCCTGCTCTCAGCACAGGCTGACAAGCACATCTTCCACTTAGAAAGTCTGCAAAGGTTTTCACCTCCTATAGTTTCTGTAGTTAGTTACAGTGAGCTGAAGCCGATAATTCTTGTAACTGGAAATGGGTTTTTCTGGGGAAAAAGGGAAGTTCTCTTGTGTATTTGACAGTTCTTTGTGCTTAATCATTTTTCCCTATTCCCTCGTGTAGTCGGTTTCCTTTGCTGACTGAGAGAATGTTTTTTAAAGAAATAGGAAAAATCGTATTTATAAAATCACAAAACCTGATCAGAGAATTCAGGGGTAGATGCATTACCGGAAACATTTTGGAACAGATTATTTTCCACTTCACAATATCTCCTTTACAATCCATAAACATGGGATCAATTTGTTTTCCTAGCACAAATATTCACAATAAAAGGATTTGAGAGTCACATGTTCTCGGACTTGTGAAAGGCAAATTTTAAATCCACGCACGTGTCTTGAACTGCGGTGACTGAGTTCCCGACCGGTGCTCTTTGCCGCATTTTGTACAGCTTAGGTGAAGACCGGACGTTCCGCCCCAGTGATTATTGTGTTTTCTCCCCAGGACAGAATGGTGCTGCTTATTGCTGGAAACCTGGTCAACTGGTCCTTGTGAGTAGCACCGGGCGTGGGCATGTTTCGGCGTTGCTCATTGTGGGTGGCGGGGGTAGGGTGGAAATGCAGTGGTGTCTGTGTGGGTGTCTTCCAGATGCTTCTGTGGGATTTCTGCAACCCTCCAGGCATTGCGGAGCTTGAAGCCAGGGACGTGATGATCCTGTTCGAGCTGAGAAGCTAAAACAGGTCAGGCCTGCTCCGTATGTACTTGGGAGACCTCCAGCAAAACTGAGGTGTCACAGCCGGCAGTGTTGGTGGTTTGGTTTGGCAGGTGGGGTCCCCTCTAGGTGTGACATGCAGTGCACAGGGTCACCTACCCAGGGAACTCAAATCCAGTCATTGCGGCTAAGAACAAAGGTGGAGATGGTGCAGCGCAGGTTTCAGCAGAGGTGACACAACCCTGGCATAGGGTCTGGGGTACATACTCAGCTCACTAGATCTCGCTGTGCAGTCATCATAGCGGTTGTCACCCATGCTATCGAGATTGTGGCTTGCTTGGGCAGGCTACCTCCTGTACAACTTGTGCTGGGTACACCTCCCCCGAGTCCAGACACGTCCAGCGCCCTGACATGAAGTTAGACCATGTTGCTGGAGGGGCCAGTTCTTGGATGAGACGTAAAATCAGAATCCTGGCCTCTTGCTGCCCTTTCCCAAGGAAACTGCTTGTTAAAAGTTAGTTTGAAGGAGTGTCTTGTGCCTCCTTATAGCCACCCTCTGCCGAATTCTTCATTTTCTGTCCTGGCTTAATTTCCTCCAAGGCTCTCTCCATTCTCTATGGACTGGGGGTAAGGCAGGAACAGCTATTGTATCTTTGGCATAGCTGTGAATTTCCCTACGTTGAGGGGGCTGCTGCTTTAAAGCAGCTTTCCAGGCATTTTGCCCCCCCACTAGTGGTCCAGAACAGACCAAAGAGAGCTCTGGCCCTGCGACCACTGAAATGAAGCTACTTCTGGTTGCTTAACAGTCCATAGCCATAGCACAGCTGCCCAGGAAAGGAAAGAAAGAAGGAGAATCCCAAATTCAACTGAAAAACAAGGGAGGAATTGAGGATGTCGGAATGTCACTTTTCAGCTGGAGTTTAGCCCCTAACTTATGTTCCTAGGCAATGCCCACTGTAATTTTTAACAGCTAGTTTGTGTGCCCTGTTGTTTGTGTGGGTCTTCCAAACAGCAGCACGCCACAGGGAGCTGTGATCGCGAAACACAGAAGTTGGCAGGGGCAGGCCCCGAAACTACTTGACCGCCTTAGTTTAAAACTAACTAGAGAATCCAAGCTGAATTTGAAGTGGCTCTAAATGACGGATTCCCCTGCTGCCCAGTAGGGCCAACGAGAAAGCGGCTCTTGCAAGTCAGTAAGAGGGGCAGCAAGGGGTGCTCTAGCCCAGTGTTTCTCAATCTTTTTTTGCTCATGGCCCCCTTCTGAGCCTCGTTTACCTCTGTGGCCCCCCTCATAGCCACTGTTAGTTGGGAAAAAAGGTACATAATTTACCTAATATTCTGTTTTTTCCATGTGGCCCTGTAGAGGTAAGTGTGGCCCCTGGGGAACCATATGGCCCACGGTTGAGAACCACTGCTCTAGTCATTCCTTCTCTGCCTCCCACCCACTGACAAAATAGTGGAGAGTAAGGCCACAACCCCACTTACCAGAGGCTCAATGCACTGGCGATTGATCTTCTGAAGTTTGATTTAGTGGGTCTAGTAAAGACCCACTCAATCAAACGCTGAGGGTACCCCTGTCATGGGAGTTAAGGGAAGTTGACAGGAGCATTTCTCCCATCAACTTGCTGTGGAAACACCTTCAGCCAAGCTTGCCGCTATGTCGACTCTAGTTACGTTATTTATGTAGCTGGAGTTGCGTTCCTTAAACCAACCTTCCCCCCCCCCCACGGTGCAGACCTGGCCTCAGATGGGAAAGCACAGAAGTGATGGCAGGATATATGGGTTGGCTGTGTGGAGGTGGGGGAAATGTCAGGAGTCCTGGGTTCTGTTCTTAGCTCTTCTACCAACTCCCTTTGGGTCAACTTGGACAAGTCACTTCCCACCTTCTGCCTTAGTTTCCTATACCTAAAACAGGGCACCAAACCAAACCTGTGTCTGTCGAGTGTCTGGTGATAGCTGGAGCCATGTTCTGGAGCCCCTCTCCTGGCCTGGGCAAGAGAGTTGGTTAACGTGTCTGTCTCTGTCCCTCCCTTCTCTCAGTGCTGTCTTTGGACTGGTGTATCGGCCACGAGACTTTGCCTCCTACATGCTGGGGATCTTTATCTGTAACCTGCTGCTGTATCTGGCCTTTTACATCATCATGAAGGTAAAGGAGGTAGCCCCAGCTGCATGTCGTGATCCTGGGGCCTGCCTTTATTTTCTCTGCCTTCCCAAAGGGGGAGCAAAGGCAATTACCTGCTCAGCTGCTTTTTACAGAAATGTGGGGCAACCACACATCAGTCCCACCTTAAAGTATATGGGGTACCAATGCATTCTGGGACTCCAGAGCCCCTCTCCCTTAGAGTCCACTGCACTGTTGCTGGGAGCAGGGGTTTCTAGGCAGTTTCCACACAGAATGCTCTGTAGTGTGAGATGCCTTAGGAAGGCAGGTTGGGCTGTGATAGCTGCAGCACTTTTGATGGCCTGTATATGCCGCGGGGGACGAGCTTCTCAAACAGAGCTTGTAAAACTCCTGGGTTGGCATCTGCGAGAGGATGGAGGGCACTGTTATGTCTCTCTGCAGACAGGGCCTTAGACTCCCCCAGAAGGGCCAGAGAGGAAGTCTGAGCTTTCAAAAAGTCAAAGAGGTTGCTGATTTTCTGACCCAAAATTGAGACTAATGTATGCCTTGGGCTGCTGGCCGGGTATACTGGGTTCTGGACAGTTACCCAGTGCTGTGCCTGTTGCTGTGACTGGGCGCACAGTCGGGCGGTTGCTGGGGAGGACATTGCACATTGCCTCACTGGGCTGATTCTTGTTTCTTTTCATTGTTGCAGCTGCGCAGCTCAGAGAAACTCCTGCCCATTCCATTGTTCTGCATTGTGGCCACGGCTGTGGTTTGGGCTGCAGCTCTTTACTTCTTCTTCCAAAACCTCAGCAGCTGGGAGGTAAAGTTGACACATTTATTCCTCTTGAGCCCCCTTTCTGTCTGTCTGTCCCTCCATCACTCTGCTCTGCTCCCTTTTCCTTCCCCTGCCCATACTTCCAAATGGCCCTTTTTCTCCTGCAACCATTGTCTTAGAAAAGGAGTCTGACTCTTTAATAACAGTGATGGGCAAAGAAGGAGCCAACTCTTTCAGTGTATTGGAAGGCGAGGGACTAATACAGACCTGAGTCAAAAATAATTGATACTCGCACAGGGACAGCCAAGGGCACTACGTACCACACCATTTGATCCTGCATGTTCCATATTGCACTGCCATGAATTGAGGTGGTGGTGTGAGAGTGATCCAGAAAGAACACTGGCTGTTGGTGGAGAGAAAAAATATAGCTGTGCCTTGGTAGCCCTGTAACGGGAGGTCTTGTAGAAGCTCCCAGATTTCTTTGGTGGGCAATGTCTCTTCTCTTCCGCATTCTGTTTTGTATAGAGAGGCATGGGCTTTGTCTTTCCAGTGTCTTTTTAGACTCTCTCCTGTGCTCGGCATGCTGGCCATGCAGGAATCATAGTTCCGGAACGCCATGTTCATATAGAATATCGATTTTAAGATTCTGGGTTGGAGTAAGCAGAGAGCAGCTGACACTGGCGTTGGCTTTCACGCAGTTGTGTTACCCTGGGACTGACACAGCTGCATTAGAGAGACAGGGTAGGCAAGGTAACTTCTTTCATTGGACCAGTTTCCATTGGTGAGAAAAGCTACTGGGCTTCCCCAGAGCAGAACAGACAGCATGTGCACAATAAACTACTTCTGCTAAACTAAGGGGCCATTCTGTGAAGTGGCCTGTGGACACCTCTGCAGCCTTAGGATGAAAAGGAAGTTAGTGGGTTACAGATTGCTGTAATAAAACATCAATCCAGTCTCTTGAAGTCCATGGGTTTTTTAGTGTCAAGCAGAGTTATGATTTTAAGATCCCAGGTTTGTCTTTTGAAAGCATTGTGCCAGTTTTCCTGTGAGGATGAGGACTGAGAGGACAGATATAAAGTGTTCACCCACAGGTGAGAGAGTGTTTGGTTTTTTCCAAAACTTTTTCAAAAGACAAACCTGTGAGCTTAAATTCATTCCTCTGCCAGACACCAAAAATCACAGACAAAGAGAGATGCTGGATTTATGGCTAATCGTAACCGTGTGTAACTGTTAATTCCCCTTTTTGTCCTACCACTCTGGAGGTGGTAATGGGCCAGACTATCTGGAACAGACCCTTACGATATGTGCAAACTACTTTTGCTTAAACAATTGATTCTTGTATGTAACTGACCATGGGAGTTTCTTCCCCGTAAGGCTGCCAACCCTCCAAGATTGTCCAGGAGTCTCTAGGTGTTATGTGATGGAAACTCTCCAGGAATACGTCCATCCAAAATTGAAGATGGCGCTAAAATGGAGAGTTTGAACTGCTGCTTTCAGTGGTGTGAGGGTCAAGGGATAAAGACGGGGGGGAGGGGGAATCACAGTCAGTGTTAGACTTTCTGAGCAACTCATAAGCCAACATTGCTGGGAGTCCAGGAGCTGAGTGTGTAGAGAGTTGTTTCAAGAGTGAGCAAACGGGTTTTTAAGATCTGGTTCTGCCCTTGCTTACATACAAGGGCATGGCCGATGTGAGAAGGCTTGGGCAGCCTGAGCTAGTCAGCAGTTTGAATTTGCTGGCTGTTTTGCGTGGTGCCCAGGGAGCAGCCTGTGCCGAAGGGCTAGGCTGGAGCGGGGGGAGGTTTGCAGAGTGTGCGGATGGGCTATGTGAGTAACATCCCATGCAGGTGTCTGTCCCCACTCTGTAAGAGAGGGGCTGGGAGCCTGCTCCGCCTCAGCCCTCTGTCCCCTCTCCCTAGGAGACCCCGGCGGAATCCCGAGAGAAGAATCGCCCGTGTATCCTGCTGAGCTTCTTCGATGACCATGATGTCTGGCACTTCCTCTCAGCGGCGGCCCTCTTCTTCTCCTTCTTGGTGAGCCCCATCTCCTGCCCACCCCTCCCACCGCGCTCTCCTGCGCCTGTTCTTCATCCCTCCATCTGTTCCCCCTCCCCATCTCTCTGTCTAGCTGAGGCACGTAGATCACCTTGACCCCCCGGGCAGCTCCTGGCACTTAGTGTTGCTGGGCTGCTTCCCGGCACCTGTTCATGCAGTCCGCTCCTGGGGAGGATCCGCCCGTCCTGGCCTTGTCTGTCCGCCTGCACCACTCTGGGCCTGCCCCCTCCACGGGAACGCTCCAACTCCGAGTTCACCAGCACCGTCTCCTGCCCTGACTGAGTGGGCTTGTTTCTCACTCCCCGCTTCCATTCTTTTCATTACTTCCTGGCCTGGAGCCCCCTTGAGGACTGTGGCTGACTCAGTCATAACGTGACTGGAGACACTGCCCTTGTCCCTCTTCTCCCTCTGCGGCGCCCTCTGTCTCGGCTGGTCTTGCCTTCATGCCCAAGGGAGCCCCTCTCAATGGGAGGACACCCCATGAAGCCCCTAGCAGGAAGCTTTGGCTCCTCCTGGGCTTCCCTAATTGAAAGTGGCAGGGAAGTTGCATTAGCCAATCGGTCTGAGCTTGCTGCTCTTCCTGCCCTTGCTGTGTCATGCCAAGGGCTGCGATGCCCTGGGTAGTGGTGCAAGTGGAAATCATTTCTTGCTGGTACTGCACTCCCAGGAAGGACACAAAGGGGACGTAGTACCTCCGTGTGCCTTCTCCCCACCCCCTTCCAGCCCGGGGCCTCTATGCTCTCCACGTCCCCTCCAACACTCCCCCGACCTGTCTAAAATTTTACAGCTGCATCTGATAAACACCTGGCAGGCTGCCTCGTGCTCCATGACCCCTGTTGTATTCCCAGGTGTCACAGGATCCAGCAGAACCCCATGCTGCAAACCACCTCAGTGAAGGAAGGCTAGGAAGGCTGATCACCTCACTTTCCCTTAACACGCTATCAATGTCTCCCTTATGGCCAAACTAAACTTCTACCAGCTCGCCTTTATCTAAGGCCCGGTCTCCACTGCCACTTGACTGCACTGCAGCTTTCTAGCTCAGGGAGGTGAACTCCCCCCAGCACGGTGAAACGTTCATAACTAAGAATTTGTCTACATTGTCAAGGTGAGTGCTGTAACTTTCTTGTTCAGGGTTGTGAAACAACCTCCCCCAGTGCAGCAAGTGACAGCTCTGTAAAGTGCCAGTGTAAACAGGCTCCCGGCGCTGTTAGCGACTCCCCTTATGGAGGTGGTTTCTGTGGAGCGCTGGGAGAGCTGTCTGTCCCAGCGCTCCTGCTGTGGCTGCACATTTCACTTTAATGCGCTGCCACGGCTGCACTTCAGTTGTAGAAGTGTAGACAAAAATCTAAGTCTTGCTCTCCTCCAGCAGCTCTGTAAAGTGCCAGTGTAAACAGGCTCCCGGCGCTGTTAGCGACTCCCCTTATGGAGGTGGTTTCTGTGGAGCGCTGGGAGAGCTGTCTGTCCCAGCGCTCCTGCTGTGGCTGCACATTTCACTTTAATGCGCTGCCACGGCTGCACTTCAGTTGTAGAAGTGTAGACAAAAATCTAAGTCTTGCTCTCCTCCAGGCCTTAGGGAAGCACAGATGCTGCACTGACCATCTGAGTTTGGTGGAAGAGAGGCACAGAGCTGTGTGTGCCATGTGCATCTTGGTAGCACTACAGCCCAGATTGCCCCTTTTTTATGTCAGGACGGGGAATAAACCATCAAAATCAGCTTGGCAAAACAACATGCAGGAGAACTGTCTCTGGACAGAGAAGCAATTGATCAAAACCAAATACCAGGCCAAATCCTGCTCTTATTGAAACTGAAAGGGGTTCTGCTATTGAGTTCAATGGGAACAGGCTTTGGCATTTTGAGAGGAAAGAACAAAACCACTCAAGCCAGGGCTAGGTTGCTAATACCACAGGCGTCAAAGGCAGCTGATTCATATTAGGGTTGTCAATGTGACTTTACTATTAACCAATAAGCCTGGGCTTCTCAATTAATCCAGTCAAGTACATGCACTACCTCACCACTTGCTGCCTCTGTATCAGAGGCAGCAAGATGTGGGGGAGACAGGAGACAGTACCTGTGGGGAGCTGGCTTTTAACCTGGCTCCCCATGAGCACTGGATCCTGCAGGGCCGCCTGCCTCCCCGCCCTTGCATTGCTGCTGCTGATAGAGGCAGCAGCGCAGAGGGTGAAGGGGAGAGGCGGGAGCCAGGATACGCAGGAAGCTGGCTTTCAAGCTGGCTCTCTGTGCCTGTCGGCTCAATGGAACCACCTGCCTCCCTGAGCACCAGCTTCGTGGGGCTTCCTGCTGCCCCTCCTCCTGGTCCTGCTGCCTCAGAGGCAGTGGGGTGGGGGTGGAGCAGCCTCGGTCTCTGGCGGGCCCAGGTGGGACCAGGCTCACCATGGACAGGTTAGTCTGTGGAACTGAGGCTGCACCGACATCCCACAGAACAGCCTCTGTCTGCAGTGAGCCTGGGCCACCATGGACAGAGGCTGGGCCGCAAG